TTTGCTGTCGGTTTGGTATTTTCTGTGTGCAGCGTATACAGACTTTATTTCACGCTTCTCACCTTTCTTACTATCCTTCCTTTTTCAAAAGTGGGTTAATAAAACAACCTAAATCGGACTATCCTGTAATCTATATAGATTCTAATTATTTTCAAAAATTACCTTAAATTTGTATAAAAGGTATTTAGTATCAAATACTAAAGATGTAGTGAATATACGGATTTGTTAAAAAAAAACAAACAAATTACTGGATATACTTTACGGACCGTACTATAAGACCTGTTACGCAAACATTCAAAAGAAAAAGTATGCCCGAACTGAAGAAAAAATGGCGATGATAATTAATGGTAGGCTAGGATAACTACATTAATCGAAGACTATAAGAGAAAAAACAGTGATGTCCCATTAATCCTACCACTGAAAATTGAGATCCAGATACTCACAGTTATTTTTTGTTCTTTCATGAGTAGAACTCTTTGAAGTTCTTGTGTTTTACTGTTCAAATATCTAGGCCCTATATTTTATTAGTTTTTCTAGACAGGTTTCGTATTTTTAAGCCATATCTGTGTTACACAGTGGGGATTAGAACAAAAGGAAAAATGTTTGGACATCACTGGAATCCCCCAGTCCCCCTCCCTGTAGTCTTTATTAGCAATTTATGTAATATTTTTATAAGTCAATCACAGATTTTAAAAAATGTATACTAAAGTTTCACTTAAAGTGGGGGGAAAATTTTGCATTTTGGCTCACCGAAGGCTCGGGTAATGACGGTTTGGAAAGGAGAGACGGATTTGAAAATGATGAACCTCAAAGGCCTGTGTCTGAAACCCCAGGCAAGGAACTTCAGTAAACGGGAAGATCGCAGAGGCCTGTTTCGAAACGATAAATTGTAAGCAATACGGGAATGACTGTGTGTGTGTGTGTGTGTGTGTGTGTGTGTGTGTGTGTGTGTGTGTGTGTTTGAGTATGTGTGAGTGTGTGCGAGTGTGTATTATACAAGTAGTCTCCGCCTAAGAACCCGGTGCTCGGGAGCAAGAAAAATGCAGAATCTTAAGCAAACGGGATCTTAGTCAACGCACCAAGGGAAAAATCGACGGTGGCCCATAGTTAGGTCCACAACTGGTGACATGGTCTTCCTTTACTCAAAAATGAACTGACGTGACCCCTGGGTGGGTTTATGTCTTATAGCGAGCAAAGAGTGATCAGCCGTGATATCCAATCACAGTGGCATAAGCCAATATACCAATTTCACTTATCGTGAGTCTCAAAATCTACGCTCCTTTTCTTTACCTGTCTAAAATGTACAGCTTTCCATCTCTGACCGAGTCTCCCCCCCCCCC